GGCTTCTGTTTTAATGCTCCTTATGCATGTGTACTTATGCGTATTTTGCAGGGTGTTTTAATGAGCAGCATAGGTTCTAAGGGTCTGCTTAACCATTTCATTAACTTAGTCTATGCCTTTAGGCACTCTACAATGCGCTTGATTCTCTTGAAGCTTAGAGCTGTGTATACGCTGGAAGAAATCAGTGTATGTTCTCGGTGTCAAATTCTAATGAGGCACCATATGGAAAATTGCTGAGACACTGTGTGGAGAAGAGAGGGCAGGAAATAATGTGTGTCTCTACCTGATGCTCATGGAAAGCTCATTTTGCAGGCTTCCTAAGTAGAAGCTAGCTGAGGAGGGATAATTTGATATTGTGTTTCTGTGGTGGTTTGGATGCAAGGTCCTGATCAGACAATAGTGATTTTATGCATACAGCTGCACACAGTTGAATTGGATTCTGAATTTCGCAAAACAGTGAAATCTCTTCCCTGAGTTAGTGATGAAGAAAACATGAAATCTAGTCTTTGCAGCTCCAGTGACAGCAGCTCTTTATAAATTGCGCTTACTTTTTACTTCAAAGAACAGCACCTGCAGAGATCTATTATTGCTTTGTCACATAATTTCAGAGCAGTAAAAATTGAAACCAGGGCTAAAGATACAATTAAGCATTGTAGAATAAGGGTCCTACTTTTCAGTTGTCTTTACTTTTCACCGTGTACTTACATTTAAAGCGATGGCATATACTAAAAAAAAAAAAAAAAAGAACACTTGTAATACAATCTATAGTCTTGGGATATGGGGCATAGTTTTCAAAAGCATGTAAGTTCCCAAAAGGGGGTTGGGTGCCAGGGCCAGGTTCTCATGATATGTAGCTGTCTAAGGACAGGAACTTAGGTATCTTGTGTATCTAAATCTACATTGCAGCTGGTGAGAGCTGGTACCTAGCCATTCCTGAAAATATAATGGGTTTTCATATGCAGCCTTAGATGTCTACATGCATCACAGGAATCTGATCCAAGTGTCTCAGACAGTGACACGTTCTGAAAATGGGAGGTTTTAATTTCCTATTTATTTGCTTTAGAGAAAAGTGCATCTCTTGCTGCATCTTCCTCTGAGAAGCTGAGAGTTTCACAAGCATTCATTGAGTTGGGAGGCAGGAAAGTATTTGGTTGATGTTAGAGTGTGCAAACTGAGCCATGGGCAGGTATATTGAACTTGCTTTAAATCTGGGAGGTCTGTTAAACCTGGGAGGAGAATCCAGGTTTCTCTGCTCCCAAACCTGGTTCTGAGCACCCAACCATCATTCAAAAAGCTCCAGCCCAGTGCACGTAATGTGGGAGGAAGAGAAGGTGAAACCTGGCAGATAATCCAGACGAGTGAAAGCTGCAAGAGCCACAGTGGGGAAAGCTGCTTAATCTGATGCGAGAGCATCAAGGGAGGCTTGATTCAAGGCACAAAACCATGAGAAATTGCAAAAGCCTAATCATTTATGAAGATTTATTTAGAAAAACCACAATGCTGGGGAGTCACTGTTACATAGCGTGGCAATTCCCTTCCTCTTGAGTAATATGCACCACACTGTGCTCATGCAATTACTTTTGTTCCAGAGATAACATCTTCATCTAGAGTTATACATGTACACATACGGTCCTTAGTGCACACTACAATTCACGTATATGTTAGGACATGCATAAAGTTGAGCTTTTCCATGAAAAAAATGTATAAAAAATACAAACCAAACTGAAGCTGTCAACATGAGAAGCAATGTGCAAAAACAGTTACTCCTGAATGTTTGCTTAAGAAAAAAGGACTCTTCTATCCCTGTTCCCCATTCAGCGTTGAGTATGCCAGATGTCACTTGAAAGTAGAACTTAAAATAACTAGTCACATCCCGACAACCGTCACATTAGTTGCAGAGATTTTTAATCAGCTAAATAATCCTATATTAATATGAAAATCTGCCTCCAAGCATCACCATCGTGTGCTGCTGTTGTATTGAATGTTGTTGCAATGTTTTACTTGTGATGTTCGAGGCCAGGTGACAACCAAGCCCTTGTGTGGAGCACACAGAAGAGGCAGGACAGAGATGTCCCTGGTCACCGAGCCCCCGGCAGGGGCTGGCAGCAGCTGCCTGGAGAAAATGGCCAGGGATGAGGAGTTCTCCTCACGCGTGCTGGAAGGAGCCAGACCTCCCAGGTCTCCCACCATGGGCTGCACAGCTCCAGGCACTGTCAGTTAGTGCATGGTGGGGCTGGTGTTTGAGATGATCTCGAGTGCCTGAGGAATCCTCCCTTCAGAGGAAACACGCCTGTGCAAAGAGCGCGGCAGATGAAGGGACGGAGAGCCCACAGGGCCTTCCCCAGCCAGGTACCTTGGTCCGTGATGCAAACTGTAGCTGGCATGGATGGAGCCACTGGACTATATAACCACTCGTGTGGCTCTGAGCAAAGCTCTACAGGATGACATGCTGCAGACATCATGAAGCAGCCAGACCAATCCATCCTTGTAAAACTGCTGCATGCAAATACCGACACTTTAAATGGCAATTAAGACTAGAAATGGATTGCACTTGTTTCCCTTAAACACATACATGTACCACTCTTCAAAAAAAAAAAAAAGGTAACCAATTAAAAAAAAAATCTTCAAAATACATTAAAAAAAATTGATTGATAGTTGGGATTCCCTTGGTTGGATCAAAGGAAAAGAAGAAGAAAATAGGGGCAGTGTGGTTCTAATCATTGACGTTTGTCAGCAACCACAGTCTTTCGGTTTTGGGGGTGAAGATTCTTCCTACCCATGCAACTTGATGCTGGGAAGCCCAGTACGCCCCTGGTAATCCGCATGTTTTTTAAGAACTGTTTCTTTAAGCCCATGCAGAGTTATAACTGTGTTACAGAACTTGTCTTTTTTTTTTAATGGGCTGTCAAAGTTTTTCACAGCAAATCCTGCATGGATGCAGCGAAAATCTCAGCAAGACTCCCCTGTGTGTTATGTTTTTTACTTGCAAAGCAAAGGTTTTAGCCTTATTCTGAGGAAGGGAAGGAGAGGTGGAAATTGTAAAGACTGGGACCTCTCCAGGGAAGTAAACTGTGGACACTGCACTTTAGATCCCAGCTCAGCAGACCACTTTAGCAAACTATTTTAAGTGGGATTTAAGCGTACGTTACTCAGCTTGGACTCCAATATGAAGACCAGTATCCAACAGGAACAGTGTTGCCTTGGACCTACTCATTTCCATTATAAAAGGCACGGAGGGAGGTTCATCCTGTTAGCTTGCACTCCAGCTCTGGTTTCGAAAAGATCACTCGGGGAAGTATGTCAAACGTGTACCACCGACTGCTCCTGGGGCTCCCCCGGTTTGTTTCTAACCCCCCCGGGACGCCCAGCTGCAGAGTGGCTGACAGCTCTCCCCCCTGTGCTGCAGTGACCGTGACCTCCAGCACTGTCCTGTCACCAGGGTGAAGGCAGCAGCAGGGCTTCGTTCCTCTTGTCCTGAAGGAGCTCGGGGAGGAGAGGCTGGTGTCTCCTGGGCAGCAGCACCAGCCCCAGGTGCGTTTCTGAAAACACTGGTATGTGCGACACACCTAACCCGAGCCTCCCGTAGCTCTTACAGCATATGTACGTGTAACCAAAATGAACCTCTGGCTGTTAGGGAGAGACAGCTCTTGGCAGTGATAAACCAGTGGTAGAGAAGAGTTTTAGACTGTAAAATACACAAACGGAAACATCGGACTGAATTCTTGCTAAAATTTTGATGCTATTGAGCACTGGGGTTAGCCGCTGCTTCATGAGTGTTTTCCACTGGGTTAAGATTATGTCCAGCATCTGAGTTAAGGCTCTGATTTAGCAAAGCATTTGTGCATATGCTTAAATCTGCCCTTATTCAGCTAAGCATTGACGTGCATACCTAAGTGCCTTGTGATGCAGGGACAAACCTGAACTGGAGCCTGTAAATTTAAGTTATGTAGCTGTCACAACTATCCTTTTAATGTTTTTTTCCTGGTAGCACAGCTGCTCTCCTGGATCAACTATTTAATTAATCTTCATCTAAAAGGTCCTGAGAACAGTTCTGTAATACTAACAAACATACATAAATACGAGAACTAAACACAGTAAGTCAAACACATGGCTCAAAGCAAAACAAATATTGCTCAGAATACTTGTTTAGATTAAGATTAATAGCTGTAAACTGTGCATTCTAGTAGCAAATAAAAACCTCTTGGCCTAGAAAAAAACCTCAAAACATTCAAAGCCTATAGGATTGGCAGCACTAATATTACTTTACAACGTGGAGGAAGGATAACAAATATCAGTGTAACATTGCCAAATGATCCACCTAACCTAAGCTTATGTAAACAAGTAGGCTTTGACAATGTTTATACGTCTAGGTGTGATCCTGCACTTGGACCTGGACGGGTGGAGACCCAAGAAGGTAGAAGGGCGCTGTACCAATGCGGTTCCAGCTGCCCAGATCCCACTGCAGGGGAGAGGCTTAAGGGTGTGATTCTGCAAACCTATACTGGTATTACTAGTTCCGCTCCTGGGAGCATCCCATTGCAGGATTCGGTTCAGCAGGACTATACACATGTAAGTAAGGATTATTCACAAACATAAGGCATTGCAGAACTTGGCCCTAAAATTTCTATTTTCAGCAGAGAATCCCTTATCCATACACAAGATTATATTTTAACGTATCAACAAGTGTCTAAAATAAGGGTCAATGTCACTATATGTTACTCTCAATAACACAGTTACGATTCTGCATATTGGCTTCAGTTATTGCAAACCATTTTTTTCAGTAAAATCAAACCAACTATGAATCTTTCTCATAAAAATTAAATTAACCGTGAAAGTTAAAAATGAACAGGCTGTGTTTTCAAGGTTAAAAGGAGACATTAACAGAAATGAGCAACTCCCATTGTAATGGTTTTCCAGTGCCTTCCCTTCTGACCAGTGAACACACTGAGATTGCAGTTGTTGGTGGCCTCCGATCTTGCTTTGCATCCTCTACGGTGTGGCTACTGCCGCTCTCCTTCCACCCGCTTTTTACGAACTAGATCAATAAAACAAGAAAAGGGCAGTCAGTATGGCTTTCTTGAGAATCTAAGGACTTCTCTCACTGACACACTCCCTTCCCAGTAACATGAATAGGAAGGAGCTTCTAACAAATACTCAGCAGCATTATGTCCATAAATGTCATAAATAACAGATATCAATGCTAAACAAAACAATTGTATTGAAACTGCACTTTTCTATATCACAGATTGTAGAATTTCACCAAGTGCTCATATCAATACATTTTCTCTAAAAATCAGATTCTGAGCTAAAGGTTTTAGATGATGAAGAAGTCACCACTTCCAATGCTTCCTCCCAATGGCTCCATTTAGATTTTTGTTACGGTTTTATTGTTCTCTTAAAAGCCACTGTGTTCCAGCTAAATCGATACTGGTCTGCTCTAGTCTGCATGGCAGTGCTCTGGATTATTTAAGCACTGGGCATCAAAAATTACTAACTTTTCTAATCGCACAAGTGTATACTAAAGGTAAGCAATAATATCCTTTTAGAAAATAATTTGAAGTACTCATAGGTATTGATATCAGTGAGTACTGGTAACAAGGAAAACATCATATTGAACCTTAAATTATCTGTTTAAACTTCATATGCTCTGATTGCATCAACCATCTGATAGTAAATGAATTAACTCGGGAATCTCACTAGAAACCAAGTAGGTTGAAGTTGCCACTTAGCGAAGCAGAGAGCAATGAGCTTTGTATTACAGGCAGGATTATTTTGACAAGCAGGCCCATGTGAACTTTTACAGCACTTAGGATATGTTACAGCTGATACAGAGTAGGTCTAGTTGGGCAGCATTTGCTACTCCATACCCTAATAAAAATGTATTGAGTCTTCTCTGACTTGGCCAGATAAGATCAGTGAAGTTCTCCTGTTCATGTGATATAAAATTTGGTGTTACATCAAACTGTCATGTCCTTCTTCTGACGTTGAACTGCTGAAGTACAGAACAAAAGCAGTAAAACTGGATGAATGAACGCTTTTGACTATAGAAAGTCAGTAACAACAATACAGAACTACAAACGCCCCATTACTTTACTATCAGGAGGTTTATTTCATAGTGCTTTCTTGGCAAATAGACTGCATTTTCTCAAAGCCTACAATGTAGCATCAGCCATTTGTGTCTGCTTTCAGTGTTTTGTTGCTTCATTTATTTTATTTTATTGAATTCTTTTAGGTATTCTGTCCTACTAAATCTTGAACAAAACCATACAATACAAAAGCAGGAAAATGAAGATTAGGTACAGGACATATGTCTAATGGCAACTGGTTAAATAGCGGAAAAAAAAGGTCTTTCTCTCTTTGTCGGTGGGATGTTTCAAATACCATTCTGGGACACTAACAGTTTCAGGACCAATAGTATATCATTAGAATGCTTAGGTACTGCTAAACATTAATACTGCAAAAAAATAAAAGTATGTGTGAAAGAAATCGGTTCTAGCTCAATTTTTATCTTAGTTCTCACAGAGAGAAACCCAAGCTGAAGCCAGCAAAGGCATCATGGTTTGACACCCCACTTTGAAGTAGAATTGATTAAAAACATACAGTTACTCTTTTTTTTCTTCTTCTTCTTCCTGTAAACTACTCCTGCCTAGTCATCTCCTTCTTATTCTGTGTATTGAGCACACAGGGCAGAGCATGCCACGCTTGGGTAAAACTTGCAAAGCTTTATTGTCTTTGCCTGTACTTGGTCACACAGGCAGGAAAGCCTTTTTTGTTCCCCTGGCTGGGCAGGCTTGGTCTGTCATGGGCAGGGCAAAGAAGCGAGGACTTCTGTGTTCACTGAACAAACAGGATGGGTTTGGCGCTCCACTACTGGCCAGAACAGCCGTCAGGGCAGCTGGGAATTGAGGGCGCTCCATGGAAAAGACTGAAGTAATTCCCCTTCCCAGAAGGAGTGGCAGAAGGAGAAGAAAAATAGTGGCTCCTAATCACAGTAAGACCTTTGCTGTTGTCTACTCTAGAGTCGGTGGAGCTATGCATCACCCCTCACATATAGCAGACTGAATATGTTGTAGAGTTAAAAATTAATCTTATGTACAGACAGGAAGAGTTGTGACTAGGAAGGTCAGGGCTTGGCTCACATAAACAAATTATGAGTAGATGTAGTAGCTATCTTACCCAGATCATTGTTTTTAGTGATAGCTGCTGCTACCCTGGTTCTTGGACCTTGCTTTGTGAACTGGTATCCAAACTTGAGAATCTTGGAGTTCTCCTCCAGCATCTTGGCAATTTCCATCTCTACAGCTGTCCCCAGCTGCTGCCTCTGTTGGTGATGTCGTGAAATGTCCCCAAAAGAAAAGAAAATATTTGTTTTCACATGAGAGAGAAATAAGTGGTTATATTTCAGTACTGTGTTGCAAACTACAAAGAGAATCCTGTCCCTGGAGATTTTGCTCTGGGTTTTATATTTGGCTTTGACCAGTTTTATTTAGAAGTTTTCCACTGTTTGGTTGCCTGGGCTTGGGACGTGAGCTGCAGAATGACTGAGCCACAGAGGTTGCCTTGACATTGCCAGAGCCCTCTAGGAGAACCTTCTGGGAATCCATATAGAAGGGAAACAAAAGCGGACTCACTCAATGCTCTCACTTTACCTGGTTGTCAATTTTAATCTCTGTCAGGGATTCATTCTCTTTCAGTGCATCAATCAGTGCCAAAATACCCGTCCCAGTGATGAAGTTGGACTCTACATTCAGACTCTTCAGTGTTTTGTTCACTTTCAACATATCTGCAAATGCCTGAGAGGTCAGAAAGAGGGAATATGAGATAACGTCTTGAGAGTTTCAGGGAATAAAAGGGGAATCTGCAAAACATAGCTTAGTACCTACAAAGAAATAGAACGTAAATAGACTTAGAAGAACATAGAGGTAGATCAGAAGAGCTTACACTTCTATTTTGCATAGTCCCAGGGAAATTCTGCGAGGGAAAATGAAGAATGCAACCTAAAGCAGACACAGACCTACTTAAAAATTGTTGTGGTTTTTTTCCAAGCAGTGTTTAAACTTACAATAGCTACAGGGTCATTGCTTCGAGTAGCTGCAAGGCTGAATGTCTTCACATGTGTGTTGCTTTCCAAAGCTTTTGCAAATTCTTTCAGTGTTGGAATAGGAATATTCTACAGTAAAAAGATAAATCCAGTACTTAGGAAAAACAGCCACATTGCTAGACATTGATTTTAATTATTATCAAACCGATTAATAGCCACAGTCTACAAAATGAAACATCCCCGATGCTTTTAAGAGTATGTCAGAATGGGCAAAGCATCCTCTGCTTACAGGGGCCTTCGGACACCCGTGGAGGCCTGCGCGAGGATGCAATGTCAGCACTGCCTTTAACTGGGTCAGGCCAAAGCAAGCACGTGACCCATCTCTGAGCTACTTTCCTATTTTGCTGCTGGCTGTTCAGGCTCCGCATGCCAGCTCCTCCTCCATTTGCATGTGTGGGCTAATTGAATCTGGCCGCTGATGATTATATAGTGCCCATGAGATATCTTGCTTTACAGTCTTCTAAAGAAAGGCAGCCAGAGGGAGTCACCCCTTGGGCTTTTAACTGGCATCTAATTCAGTATCAGGCATTGATGACCTTGGAGCCTCTACAACAGTTCCCTCCACACCCCCTTCCTGTGTCCTGCTTTTTCTGAACAGTAAAAAGAGACAAAATTTGAAGATAAAAGGCAAGGGCTTTGGAAAGATTTGAATAAACCCTCCTATGATGACATAAATGAAAACACAGCACCTACCTTTATATTGTTGAGATTAATTTCTATGAGACTAGGATCATTTGCTTTTATCCTTTGTAAACTTGCTTCCACATTGGTCGGATTAGGTGGCTCCTCAAAGATGGGCTTGACCTTTTCACCTTTCACCACATCTGCAACACAAGATCTCATGAAATGTTGACATCAGGAACAGGCATCATCATTTAACAGCCTGGCTTTTCAATTCCCATTTAAGTTTGTACGGTAGCATTCAAGAAAGGGTTTATAGGAACCACAAAACCTGGAAACAGGAGTATTAGCCCCGTTATCCCTGCCATACCCTTTGCACTTTCTGTGCCCCCAGAAGCATGTCACTGGAGGCTGCGGTCACAGAGGCTGGGAAGTATTGTCACAGGCAAATTCCTTTTTAGGTACAGAAGTCCCAGTTCAATTAGTCTGAGCCAAAGCAGTTTTAAAGACCATTGTATAGGATGTAATATACTGCAAGGGTTGCTTTGTTCTTTGTCCAATATCTGTAAAGGAGGGTGTGCTCAGAACTTGCCCATTACATCAGTGAGAAAAATATCCCCGCACCTATGAATAGACTGGGCTAACATAAAGAAACATGATTAGGATGCCCCTCAGTTTCCTCCTCTTGGCTGATGCTATCAGCCCTGCTACAAATTCAATTAGCTCTTGTAAAATTGCAACATCTGCACTTTCTATATAATAAAACTATCAAAGCATGAAAAGCAAGTCCATCTGCCAGCACCAAGATTTATGAAGTCTTTGAGTATTCATGCTCCAAAGAGGTACAGTTTTTAATGCTGGAAGCTATGAGCTATAAATACTCTTAGAGATGCATAAAAATCATAGCTTAGAACACAATTAGTACTTCTAATTCCCACTGTCGCAGTTTAACCCCAGCCAGCAACTAAGCACCACGCAGCTGCTCGCTCACTCCCCCCACCCAGTGGGCTGGGAGAGAGAATCAGAAAAGTAAAACTCGACCATTGAGATAAAGACAGCTTAATAGGACAGAAAAGGAAAGGATAATAATAATAATGATAATAATAATAATATACAAAACAAGTGACGCACAATACAATTGCTCACCACCCGCTGACCAGTGCCCAGCCAATCCCTGAGCCGTGGTGCCCCCACAGCCAGCTTCCCCAGTTTATATACTGGGCATGACATCACATGGTATGGAATATCCCTTTGGCCAGTTTGGCTGTGTCCCCTCCCAACTTCTTGTGCCCCTCCAGCCTTCTTGCTGGCTGGGCATGAGAAGCTGAAAAATCCTTGCCTTAGTCTAAACACTACTTAGCAACAACTGAAAACATCAGTGTGTTATCAACATTCTTCTCATCCTAAATCCAAAACACAGCACTATACCAGCTACTAGAAAGAAAATTAACTCTATCCCAGCCGAAACCAGGAGACCCATGCATGTAGTTGTGGAGATTCATTTATAAGCCCTGACCTCCTAAGCCACTAGAAGCAAGAAGGGAGTATGTTACTAACCACAAGTATGTTTAAACATTTTTCTTTTATGTTGCAAACAGTGAGTGACTTTGAAGACTTGTGCTCAAGTCTCAATATACTCCACATTGCTGTTCAGTGTGACATGTAAAGTTTATACCTTATCACAGGCCAAAATAAAACCAAATATTTTTTTAGCACTCATGCTCTTAGTAGAGATGAAGTCATACACAAACCTTGAACTGGTTTTCACTCTGCTCCCTTTCACCCCAAACTTTTTTTTTTTTTTTTACTAATTCCCTCAGACCTTACATATCCCTGAATAACACTCCAGCCTTCCTAGGGAGTAAGGAATTGGAAACTACTGGTAAAATGCATACAGAGAATTCACCTTGGATGCAAGGATGGAAAGTAAACAAAAAACAGCAAAGCATTTTTTGCACTTGTGGCAACACCCTGCCAAGCTGGGAGCCAGGGAGTGACTTGTACCCTGTCCTCAGGTTAGACGTCACAGTATACTCAGTCTAGAGTTAGCAGTATTTTTCATTTTCTACTTCTTGTTGCTTCCCGTGAGTTTTATCTTGTTCCTTTAATCATGGTGCTGTTTTGCCACATCGATGGGCAACTTTTGAGATGTCCCTCTTTTACTGAAGCATTTCACTTGGCTAAGGAAAGGTATCGCTTTTGGACCAAAGAATACAGTGATGTGATGATGATTTTCTGGTTCTTAAGGCTGTGATTGGAGCATAGTTTAGCTGACTCACATAGCTGACATTTTGACTCAGTACAACAAAAATATTCTGAAATCTATGTGGATTAGTAATGCCTGTTATGAGATAGATGGCAGCTCGCACAGGGCCCTGCTGGGGGGGCTTGCAGAGCTGTCTTAATCATGAGAAAAATGAAGTGACACTGTGTCCTGTCTACTTTCCCACCTCCCCTTTAGTAATGAAGGATGGAAATGAAAGTCCTTGGTAAGGATAGCTGCTGTTCTCATGGCCTTACAAGAAGAAAACATTTTTTGAGTACTGTTTCCCTAAAATGGCATTCCACAATTTTGTCTTAAAAAGCAAAGTTTAGCCCACTTGATACCCCAGAGCTTGGAGGTGATGAGCTCTGGAACAAGGCTTGGCAGCTCTCAAGAAAAACTTGGAATTCAAACGTACCCATTTCTCCTCCCATCCAGCCTCCTGTTGGTTGCTGAGCTAAGATCTGATTCACCAAAGGTCTGTTTATTTAGTGCAAACATTTCTGGATTTGTTTTTAGTAACTACAGCTCTTGGGAGATTTCCTGAACGATTACACTTCCCGTGTCCCTAAGGAACCATGTAACAGGTGCCGTTGGAACACACTGCCACAGGACTAAGGTGGAGGCAGTAGATCGGAGAGAGCAGCCGGGGCAGGAGCACATCCGTGCGGTCTTTGCCTCCCTGCGAATGCGGCTTGACGTGACTCTGGTCACAGATGTGACTCTGCCAGGCGTTCTGCCACATTCAAGCCCTGTGGTTACAAGTTGTTTTCCAGCTGCGTAGATGTAGGTACTCAGGGTGAGATGGCCTGGCCTGCGCTGTGGCCACCTCTTAGCTACAGCTCGCTATGTTTTCTGTTTGCTGCCTAAACTGAAGTGGAATGAAAATACATATGTCTTGGCTTCGTAAATACTCCCATCCTTTCAAGCGCTTCTGCAGAGCCAGATATTGCTCTCTAGGAAAACAAAGCTCCTTAGGAATGAGTTATTTGCATAGTACTGTTGTCATTATAGATAATGAATTTTAAGATTGTGTTTACTTTAAAGAGCTATCCCTCCTGATTAATGAGATCAATCGAGGTAAGACCCAGTTACATTACATTAAATTAGACCAATACACCCAACCTATAGGTGTACAAGTCCCTAAAGATGACATATAGCCCACAAGAGAAATCTGCTTGCTTACTTCTCACGGTTCCTTTTCCATCTTTACTGCGGGCTCCTCCTTCATCAAATTTTGGGTTGTTGACCATGTTGTGCACTCCAAGAACAGCTAAAATGTGTAAATACCAGCAAAAGGATACAATGTTAATGGCAGCAACAAAGAATGCAGAAAAATACCTGCTACAAATTCTAGTTTAGTTCCCCAAACAAAACCCCCTTTATAAAATATTAACTGAGTCATGCTTGCTTATAGGGAGAGTCTTTACAGGTCTAAATACTGGAGATACAGACATTTTTAATAGAGATTTTTGAAGAACTGAATCAACATAGTATGCGTATCACAGAAATGCCAGCTGGAAGGAACTGCTGCGGGTCATCTTGTCCAGCCTCCCCCTCAAGCAGGAGTGTTGCCAACATTAACCAGGTCAGCCATGGCTTTGTCTAGCTGGATCCTGAAAACATCCAGGGATTGAAATCCCACAGTCTCTTTGGGTAACTTGTTTCAGTGCTACACTCCTAGTAATTTTTTTCCCTAATATACAACCTGAACATCTTACTGCTCTTTGTCTGGCATATCCAAGAAGAATTTGACTGTAAATGTGTCTAGCTCAATAAACTGGCATTCACACAGGGGTTTCTTATACAAGCACATGGATGCTAACATGCTTGGGAAAAAAAAATATATATATATATTCCAGGACCTTAAAATAAATAGTAAGGATATAAACTATTATGAGAGAAATGACAAGAGAACCCAAAACTCCGTAACAGAAGCTGCAAAGTTATCTTTTGTGCAAATGAACTTCCACAGTGTCAGAGAATAAATTAGGCTGTGTTTGCTGATACTTCTTCCATAAATTATCTAATTGGACTTTATTCTACAGGATCATGCATTGCATTAATTATAAGTTACTAACTTGATGTAGACTTTTACTTTTATCACCAGTTTTTTCTTATGGAAAATGTATGTTCTGTAAGCAAATGACTCTTTAGTTGCTGTTACAGAGTCTATTTTCAGAACTTTCGGCAGTAGGTGTGCTACTCACTGTTCTCACAGGTCTAATCAGCTGGCAACCAATTTTCTGATTTGAGGGGTTAGATTCCAAATTTCCCCATGGATGCAGAATCTTCACCCATTGCATCCTCTAACAAGTTCATCCTGCCATTTGGGCTGTCAGAGTTGAGAGGAGGTAGCAATAGTATGCTACAAACAATGCGGATGCAGTACGATCAATGGCCTCCACTACAATGCAAGCACCCCAGCCTGCAGTCTACCATCTACCCTTCTTCCCTTCCCCAAATCATGTTAGCTGGTTCATCTTTTCCCCTTGCCTGACACATCAATTATAAGTAGAAGTCAAAAATGCAGTAGCTATCGAGTCATGCTTGAAGTTGTCATGGGCAGTGCGTGGCCCACAGGTTGGCCGCCTGTCTGTATAGTGAAACAGCTATTTCAGAGACGATCACGAGACAGTCCTGGCGGCAGGTCTAGGCAGAGAAGGACTGGACATGTAGGGGGGGTCATACCTATATATTATCTAACCTGCAAGGTCATAGAGCTCGGTATCTGAAGCGCTGGCCAGGGCTTCTTCTAGTTCCGGATCCAGGGTCACTTTCTCTTCTGTACGGGTTTCTGTGGGCTTTTCTTTAGGGATAAATATTTTTCCTAAGAGAAGAAAAAAGCCAGAGTGAGTAATGAATTATTGGAACAACTCACCTGCCTCCTGGCAGTGGGGGTAATAAGTCTGTGACAGTGGAACTGCTTGGAAATGTTATCAAGTGCATATTTTCCTCTTTCTTACTTGATGCTATCCTCCACACCAGGATCTTAAGAAGAGTCTAAAAATAAAAGGTGCAGTCTTCTGCTCCGTCTTGGTGATTGTTAATGAGGAAGGAAGTTTCCTAAAATAAATGCCCAGGAGCAGTCACAGCTGGGATTTTTCTGAAGTTCCTGTGGCCTTAAACAGGCAGAATCAGGTCTACACAAAAAGCTTGCAGAAATTTCATCCTTGTATTTAAATGAGGCACTAGAAGCAGTTAAAACCATTCTACTGCAAGAACCTTTCCGTTTACCAAATTCCATACAAGAGCCTGAGAGCTCAGCAAATCTGTTCTCTTCTAGTAACTCAGTTTAATTCCCAGCACCTCCATGAGTATTTCTCCTCTGTGTCTCCTGATGATCATTCACATAAATAGCCTTGTCCTAATCACCTGTGCAAGCCTGGAAAGTCTGAACTGAACTGAACCACATGTTCCCCAAGAAAGACTCCTGACCTGTTTGCCTCTCTTTGTATACTGCTGTTACACTGGGGTCAGCAGGTGTGTGTGTTTCCATGCAATATTCCCCCAAGACTGAAATGAGGAAACCATAGCATAAATCCAGAAACAACACAAAAAGTCCCACTACTCCGTTAGCCTGCTATTACAGTTAACCGCAGTCGTGTGACGACGGAACTGCCAACGCTTGGAGCGAGGCCCTTCAGATCAGAGCTAGGGCTGCACTTCGGTCACCCGCGCTGCTAGGGCTCTTCTCCCACTCAGTACTTTCCTGCACCAAACCCATACAGTCAGTAATATCGTAGATGATGCCACGTGCAACAGACGGTGTCATTGCTCCCAGAATTCTGTGAATTCCCATGTTCTGCTGTCCACCGTGGAGGAGCTCCCCTCACCTTGTCCCTAACAACTACTTCTCAAGCAGGCTTTAGTTAATCCCATTGTAACGAAGCTGTGACGACCTTTGGATGCAGGTGGCTTTGGCCCACTGTCAATTTTAAATTGTCCTTTTGTGCAGCTCTGTAGACTTTAGATGTAATGCTTGAAGCATATCCTGTGGCTTTCTGAATTGTCTCTAAAATAGTTTAATTTTAACTGTATTAGTGATATTATTTTGTTACCATTAATAAATGCAGTTCTCGTATTCAGTGTTGAATTACAGATGCTTTGCCTCTGGTTTTTCAACACTGTCATCCTTTTGTGGCTTAATTTTTCCCCATTACGGTCCAAAGTATCATTTTCATGTAGATAATACCCAATTCATTTATCTCTTTCATACAAGTTTGTCTACAGCAATTTCTATACTGTCAGCTTCCATGACTGAGGTCACTGAATAAGCTCAGAAAAAAATCTTAATGGAAATTTCTGAAACTCTGGCAAGGTTTACTGAGGCAGGATTTGCATTATTTACCCTAGAGACATTTGTACCAAGGCTAAATAATTTCCGAGTACAAAACTGGACAGAAGGTTATGTAGAAGGCAAAGTTGTATCATATTATGATTCATTTTTCATGCGATATTTTAAGTGAGTAATTTTTTAAGAAGAGGCTTCTAGAAGATAAAAGCCTTTGTGGGCCAGAGGTAAGAATCACTTTAACTTTCACCATACACTCAGTGATGATGTGAATCAGAGACAGCCATCCCAGCAACATCAAACAAAAGTCAAGTGGAAATCCGGGTAGGAAATACTCTGTGAAGATAGATGAGTCATGCTCTCCAGATTTCATAACAGCACAGGTGCTAAGATTTCAGACTCTCTCTGAACTACCACCTAATCTATCTGAAGTGTTGGATGGCAGCTTCCAGACACCACTGACCAAGGCTTAACTTGATGCCATAAGGATAACATATAAGGAAAAAAATTCACGACTGTGTTGGAAGCTAGAAGACCAAAATTAATCAGAATATCTGAGTAAACAATCAATAGTGAGGAGTACTGTCCATAAAATATTTTCCTTTCAGATCCCTAGTGGTTCCACATGAGTTTCAAGTAATCATTAAGTCATTTGAGATCTTGAGAGAATCCTACTTATCTTTATCCTGACTGATAATACTATCCCCTAACAGCTATACTCCACAGAGCCATAGCTTGCGTGAAACACCTCTTGTCAGGCAATAAGTGATTCTTCACGGACCCAAACCCCAGCCACCCCGTTAACAATGGCTGATGGAAGCCTATACTTGCACACATAACACTGTAAGGGGACATAGGACCTCGAGTCTGGTGTACACTGGACACGATACGTAATGCAGTCGGTCCTTCTCTATGGACTTTGGATGCGGGTAGGCCAAGTATCTTGTGTAGCAAGAAATCCAGGGGTAATGGAAACTACTACAGGCTCATACTTTTTCTGTGCAGTTCACATATATAGGAATACAATTTTTAAGCATTTGTTTCAGGCGTACGTAATTCTTGGATGGCAGCCCAAATCTTTTAAAATGTGTATATGACTCCCGATGATAGTTTCATTTAAAGCATTCTTGGCAAAAGTTTTAGCAAAAAAATCTATTATTGGTTATATGAAATATTTAAAGGGGCAAGGTCATGTCAAAGATGGTAATATATATCTTTAATATATGTGGGCCTTGCTGGCATCCAGTGGTGTTTTAAAAATACTCTTTTTTCTGCTATCTAGATAAGAACATTCTTTTGCATTATCCCTATGTGAAGAGATGCTGTAGCATAGCAGATAGAGGTTAGAAGAGCTTATGCATTTAGCACGTTATTAGGAATTCATTAGCTGTTCACCAACTGCAAAACTGTGTGTCTCTGTTTATAGATGGCTGTCAATCAGTTTTCCTTCAGTATTTTAAGGACCGAGTTTAAAGATTCAGGAGTTCCCTCCTAGTCCCACATCCGTACATTGTAAATTCATTATATAGTGCCATCATGGAATTCACTGACAAAATAAAATATGGATTGTGGCTTGCTCGTTTCAATGGTCCAGCTTAAATTTAAAATCTATTATTTGGAAGAAGCCTTGGAAGAATAGTGACATTTTATTATTTTAAAGTGAGATTTATGAAGAAAGGCTGCTGCTCTTGGTGCTCTTTATATTCATACTGTATTTTAGAAGGTACTTTATTATAACATTCTATGTGGTATAATTAATGTTGGCTGTGTCACATTTTGCCTCCAGAATATGCTAATGCTCTGCGCTAAGTCTTAATAGTAATAGCTTATCTTTCTACCAATGAAAAACACAGTGACAAAAGTTACGTTTATACATATCATACTTAAGCTACATCAGTGTTAACAACACAAAGATAACCACATTTATGTACAAAAATAACATATTATTGTGTTTAACTGCAAAACAAAATTAAATTCCAGTAAAAAAAAAAAAAAGTAAGCATTAAAATATCGCTTTGTTTTTACACATGCATAGAAACCCAAAATGTCTGGAATTCAAAGTGCTTTTTTCAACATGAAATTTTAAGCGTAAATCAATGCAATTCTCCCCTTCTTTCTGTCAAACTGGGATAAGTGCCTGGGGTGATCTGGATGACGACTGAGGCAGCTTATTATAACCCAGGGACTTTCTGACTGTGAGTGCACTGAGTGGAGATTTGTCCTGGCTCAGTCTAACAGCAGACCTATTCCTTTTCACACATGCAAAACTTCTATTCAAACTGAAATATGATATAGTTCACGTTTTACTCAAAAGAGGCTCGGGGAAAAGATCCATTGAAAACCAGAGAGAAGAAGGATTCACTAAAAAGGACTACAGAGAGACAGAAACGTAGAGTGAGATAAAAGGAAAACAAATTCTATGAAAAAAAAGAAATACCTTGGGTAGAGTCATAAAACCATAGACATAATTTTGCCACTTGGTTTCAGCAAGCTCTGATTTCCTGCATTATGCAAATGCCCGCATCAAAGCAATGTCAAAGTAAAGCAAGGAAATGAGATGTATCCCTAACTTCATCTCCTTATACAATAATAGTTAACTACATAGCCACATAGGCACATATATAGCAAAATGTATTAATTAAGCAGGGAACTACTTCAAGTGTATTTTTTCTGAAGTAATTTTATTTGTTTATTGTTATATAAGGGGAAAAAGAAAAAAAAGAAATTTGAATAGCATAATTGGTAGGATTTTACTAGGGTGTCCAATCTAAAACACACTTTAAGGATTTCATCTTCATTTATACTTTACAGTATTTGGAACATCATTTCTGGTATGTCTTCTCTCTGCCTTCCTTCTTATCTCACTAGACTTTTGTCAATAAATATAAATTGCCACCATCTTTATTTAGTATAAATACTTAGTATTTATTCCCACCTTGTACAAGCTAAAACTCAACAAAGCACAGAGCAATGGGAAATAAACCCATTTATCCTAGCTGTAAAAACGTCCTCTTATTTAACATCAGTTTTATTAAGGATAGTTGATTTTATAATACAAATGCATTTTCTGCCATAATTGTAAAACAATAATGTACTTTCTTTTCCTATAAACTCTAGTTCAGATTATTGTACTTTCAAGAAAATATCTGGTTACGCTTATTACTTCTTACTTTTCAATGAATCACTGACTACAGTAAGTGCCTGTTTATTCTCAATTACAGAATGCTACACTGACCTTAGAAGTGAAATTCAATAATCTTGGAAATATGCCTTGCATAAATCACAGGCACCTGATTCACTTTTTCCATTTTGCACTATTCTTTTCTTTTGAGGCTTGCTTAAACTCCTCCCTACAAATAGTCTATGAAAATGGAGCTAAATTAGTTCTTATCAGGAATAAATTTGTATTATGAAGAAGAAAACAGGCCAAGTTCAAATAAGTGTGAAGCTGAAAGCTAGTAGCAATTAAAATGCAGTTATCATAATTGCTGCTGTCCTGTTACTCCTGGATTAGTGTCTGCATGTTCTATGCCTTA